TGTCTCAAGTCGTACTTCTAATTATTTAGGAGGTGGAGACTGGGAGGATCAATGGTTCAAGTGCTCAGCTGGGAAAAGTTTGCAAGAACAATATCTCAATCAAATGTTTGGTATGGTGAATCCATGCACCTGTTCATCCTAGCTATGGCAGGGAAGCACAAACAGGAGGATCATGGTCCCAGTCGGTCTGGCATAAAGAGAGACCTATCTCAAAATAAGCAACACAAAAAAAGGGCTGGTGGAATAGCTAAGTGGTAAAGTGCATAGTTGAGACTGAGGTCCTGAGTTCAGCCTTCTGGTATTGCTAAAAAAATAGTCCTTTGCCACATTATAGTTTGAGAGCACTGTTCCTGAGTGTCTCTGTTTTTCCTCCACTGGCAATCCATAGTAGTATAGTGAGCCACTAAGTTTCCCTTTACTCTGAGATCATGTGGAAGAAAGAATTAAAGAGCTGCTTTGAGAAGGTGGAAGAATGGGGAGGTGTGGGAAGAAGGAATGAGCATAGAGAGGGGCTGTCTTGACTCTGACTTTCTCAGGAAACCCCTCTCCTAGTAGATGTGAGCTGCCAAGTCCTCTTCCAGTGCTGGTCTAAGTGGACAAGTTCAAGAAGAAGGTGGGAGTGAATTTTGGGAATCCGTTTCCTTTTTTTCCACTGTGGCTCATTCTGCTCTGACACGGGGTGGAGAAGTGAGAAAACTGTTGTTGAATTCAACCTCTTCAACACTGCATGGAGCAGTGTTGTAGGAGTAGTCTCCACTCCTCCTTCCAGACTTTGATGTCTGTGTTCCTTTCTCCTCCCCTCTGGCATTTTGCCCAGCACTTGAGAACACTTCAGAGGATAGGACAGATGCTGCCATGCATGCCTCTGAGGTGCCTTGGAGTCTTTCTTCTGGGCAATTTGGCTGCACGTTGCAGGTACTGCTATGAAGCTACTGTTTCCTCCGAATCTGTGTGTTGTTTTTTTATTTTTTATAAACATTTTCAATGATTACTTATTTGTTTATTTTTAAAAGTAAGCATCACATGCTTTAACATTTAAACAATGCAAAAGATTATATGATAATAAAAAACAATTCCTCCTCCTCTGCCTTCCCCTTCCCCTGGGATGGTTTCATGCTTTCCCAGACCACACATGGTAGTGAGATGTATTTATTATTTTGCTCCTGGTTTTTCATTTCACTAGATATCTTGGAGTACATTTGATATTAGTACATATGCATCTTGCACTGCTATTCTATGACATGGATACACATAATTAAGAAATAAAAATAATTCTCCTGTTAATGGGTATTTATATGTACAGAAACATCACTAACCTTTTGTTAATATGTGGATTGCTAAATAAGCACTTTCTACAAACTTCTTTCTACAGATTAGCCTGATGGAGGAAGGAGTCTACTTGCTTTTCTAGGGATTTTTAGACACTTCATGTGTGATTGACTTTTGAGATCTAACATTGACATCGTATTTGTCCCTGCTGTCATATGAGGTTTCAAGTCAATGTGACATTCCTGCTGTTGCGTTATTTGGAGCCTATTTCTTTCCCTATCTTCATGTCTCATGACAGAAGTGTCTGTTTCTAGCTCGTTAATAGTAATGTCATACAGGAATAAAATTCTAGGTCGTGTGGTACTCCCTGAGTGACTTCTCTTTATCTCTATCACTCATTAACTCATAAATTATTTTGTCAGATTAAAATCTACTTAACTATCCAACTGTATACCAAGATAGAGGCAATGAATTGATAGCCCCTCTCTCCTACCTTCCTTTTACCTGCATCCCTTCTATTAAAGAGGTGTGGGAATATAATAATAATAATAATAATAAATGAACGCCCAACTAGAATTTCTCTTCAAAAGAATGTTTTTTTTTGGTGGTACTGAGGGTTAAACTCAGGGCAGGTGCTTTGCTGCTTGAGCCACACCTCTAGCCCTTTTTGCTCTAGTTATTTTGGAGATAAGGTCTCACTTTTTCGTCCAGGTTGGTCTGGACCACAATCCTCCTATTTTAAACTTCCTGCTGTCCCTGGGATAACATGTGCACCACTATGCTCAGCATTTTTTTGTTGAGATGAGATCTTGCAAATTTTTTTGCTTGGGCAGGCCTGCACCCCCAATCCTCCCACATCATAGTTTGGAATGACAGATGGGCAACACCGACACTCCACCGCCAGTCCATTTTGCATTGACTAGTTTTGAGTTAGGATCTGGCTCTATGCCTGGGCAGGCCTAGACCTCAATCCTCCTTTTTGTGACTCCCCATGTAGCTGGGGATGACAGGCACATGCCACCATGCCCAGCTTTTATTGGTTGAGATGGAGTCTGCCAAACTTTCTACTTGGACTGGCCTTGAGCTGTGATCCTTCATCTGTGCCTCCCAAATAGCTAGGATTATAAGCATGAGCCACTAATACTTGGCCTCCAACTGGAATTTTCTCAAAGTCCAAAGAGAGTCATTCTTAACAACTAGTGGGTGTTGCTTGTAATTCAGGCAGACTCAGGTGATAGGAGAGAGCCAGGCGTTCCTTCTCAGCCCAGTAATAGTATGTACGCTGGTCTTCATGAGAAGACCTTGCTTCAGAGGTGACATGGGAAAGGAAGGCCACTAGACAGGCTCACCTGGACCTGGAATTTGGGATGCATATTAACCCTTGCTCAAGGGCCTAGAAAATGGCTCACAACCATGGCAACTGGCAATAACTAGGAATTTTTTTTGGTTGTCAACAACTGGGAGCTGGGGTTGCTAGTGTATGTGGTGTGTAGATGCCAGGAGAAATGCTAAACATCTTTCAATGCTCAGGAGGCCCCTTCCCCAACAGAGAATTATCTAGCCCTAAATGTTAATAGCACCTAGGTTAAGAAACTCTGGTCTTGAATTTATCCCATTCTAAACCTTATGCTACTGGGCAGGGAGGAACAAAAATATGTACCTGGTCAAACTCTTGGTCACACCATCTGGCTTTACTGGTCTGGGGTAGAGTCTGAAATATAGCATTTTCAAGAAGCTTCCTTGGTGTGAGGGCAGGATTGAAAACTACTCTCTGGAAAAGTCTGGATGAGTGTTTCCTGGTCCTTAGGCTAGCAAAGAGGTCATCTTGGTGGCAAGGAGAAAGGCCCACTTCTTCAATAGGTGTGGTCCCTGTAAGGCACAGAGCTCTGTGAACCCAGAGATTGCTGGATTTTGGCTCGCACCACTTGTCCTTTCCTCCAGGCACTTTGGGCAGCAGCCCTAATTAATTTGCCTTAGCTAAGATCCCCACCCCTAACAGCAAAGGGGCACAGAATTGCCCTTCTGGGTTTACTAAAAACAAAACTACGAAAGGCTTTCTCCAATGGCTCAGAGAAATCCAATCCTTCCTGGAGGCAGCCTAGAAACCCTATCTATCCTGATGCCAGGATCCAGCCATGCCACAGGGTGGAGGCTCTGGGCTGGTCCTGGTCTCCTTGGGGTGGCTGAGAACAACGCAGGAGGTGGTGGGATCTTCTGGCTGCAGGAAGCTACAACTGGATGGGAGGCTGTGGGTGAGATAGGAAACTTTGTGTGCCTCATGCTTTCCCATCAGCTGATCCTGGAAAGAGAACCTTAAGCCCCATCTAAACCTCAGCACAGCACACACACACACCCAGCCCTTGATTCATTCCTTTGCAAAAAAGAAACAAAAACCCTGTAGTGTGGACGTTGACACCTGGACCTGCGGAACCAAACACCTTGGTTCCAATCCCAGCTCTGCCGACAACAGGTTGAACTTGGGGAAAAGTTTCTAAGCGTTGGTCAAGTGGGTATAATAATAGTGAACTTAGGGTGAGGACTTGAGGGTCACATCAGCGAAGGTAGTCATGGTATCCAGCCGCAGAGGGCCACTCTGGACCCCTAGGTCATGTGACTCGCACAGCTTGCTGCACAGATAGCAATCTAAGGTACCAGGATCTGCGTGCGAGGGCGATATAGCTACAATGTGTGCATGGGGATGAGGGGCCATACAAAATGGAGCGAAGAAAGATACTTTTGGATATTTTGGCGTGCCTGGGCACATCCCTGGCGCTCTTAGGCCCTGAGGGGACAGCTGCGTTTCCAGAAGCGCTGTCATAAAAGGAGGGGGTAGGGGGTGGGGGGGGTGGGAGCCCCGATCCGAGACGTTCCGGGGAGGCGGAGGAAGGAGCACAGGCCCCAGGCGGGCGGGAGGGAGGAAAGAGGCGAGAGGAGGAGTTTTCCAGGCTGGCCTTCGTCGGGCCGCAGCGCAGCCCCTGGGTCTCCTTGGTCTCCTCCCGCCCCCTGGAAGCGCGCTGCGCTGCGGAGCCCAGCGTCGCGCCGGCTCGCCATGGGGAGCCAGCTACTCCGGCCCGCGCTGCTGTTGTCGCCCGCGCTGCTGCTGCTGCTGCGCGTCCCGCCGAGCCGTGGCTTCCCAGGTAGGAACCAGAGGTGGGGAGAGAACCCCGGAGCCGCCCCTGGAGCCCTTTGCTCCAAACCGAGGGAGATGTGGGGGCGCCCTTTGTTTGCTCTGGACGCGTTTTTCGTAGTCCCCCGGGAGGGGGCTCGCGTCTGGGCACATGGAAGGGGGCAGATTGTCCCATCACCAAGCCCGGGACGCCCTCGCGGCGCCCAGAGCCCGAACACCCTCTGTGCCCAGAGTACCAAGGTTCAAATCAAACCCTCCTTGGCAAAAGAGGCTAGGAAAAGTTTGGACGCGGGCTAGTTTGCTACTTTGTCACCTCCCTGTATTTTGCTCCTCACACGGTTGATCACGGGCATTGCCCTGGGCCTGGCAACTTGTCCTGGAAGGGGCACCTACCCTGTCCCACTTGAGGTTCCACGCTACCACCCCCCTCTGGGGCCACAGGGTATGAGCCACGGTAGAGCAACTCTTGTGGACTGCATGGGCGGGGCCTCCTCCGCATGGCCTAACCCCCTCCCCCTGCTAGGGATTCCGAGAAAGTCTGCTCCTTTGAGGGACAGGCGCCAACTGAGAGTGGTGACATGTGGCATGCACTTGGTTAGCCCAGAGAAAGGGGGAGACAAGCGCGCTTTGCTGGGCAGGGGATGGGGCTTCTTGTTGCCCGGAGAGCGTGGTCTCTAAGGGGACCGTGGTGTTTATTGGGGTCTACCAGTGTGGGCAAAACTCTAGAAAGTTCCAACTGACTAATTTCCCTACACCAAACTCCGGTTAGCAGAGAACTTCAGAGGAGCGGGGCACGTGCTATGCACCCCTCTGGCCTTGGAATGAAGAGGAAATCCATGCACGAATTTTAATTTAGTGTCAATGGGAAAGTGGGTGGTATGAACTCTAGGACGTGCAAATATTTGGGATTGCATTCGGCGTCTCTGTGGGCAGTTGAAATTTGGGGTCTAAGAAAGAACCTCCCCAATTCTGATAACAGGCTGAGGGGTTCCCAGATATCGTGCTTGGGAGATATAGGGACTGCTGATGGAAATCCTCTACAAATTCCCAAACGAATTAGAAATGTGTAAGTTAATAAGTGAGCTGTTGCTTGTAGGAACTAATTCTGGGCAGAGTGGAAAGGAGACTTGATGCTCGGTGCCAGGCAGCTGCGATTCTCATGGTGTGTCAGTGCCCCCACTCCCATCCTCTTTGGTAAGAGTCGCATTGAAATGAACTTAAGGAAGTCATTAAGTGCATAAGAAGCAGCTTTAGGGGAACGGAGGAAGAAACTGAACCACTCTGGAACCTCAACTTCTCGTTGAGCCATTCTCAGACAGGGGCCCTCTTCTTTTCCATCTGAAATTGCTCTCCTCTCCTGCTTTACCCTCCCCACTCCTTTCTCTCAGCTTCTACCCTTATATAGTATAGCTTGCTGCCCGGGTCCAGACACCCACAGGATCATGGATTTGCCAGTTGGAGCACTTACTACTTCTCCTGCTGTTGTGGTACCTACCACTAGTTTTCTTGGCTCCCTCTGCCTCCTGCAGCCCCCTCCCCCTCCCACCAGCTCAGCCGAGTGCCACCAGGTTCCTCTTGGCCATCACTTCCATTGATTCTAACCTGCCCCCTGGCTCTGCTCAGACTACAGATGAGCTAAAGCAGATTGGAGTAGCTGGGGAAGCACTTCCCTAGAGCCCTCTCTTGGCATGTCTCAATGGAGCATCTTGGGAAGTGATCTGTGCTGGGGCTGTCAAATCCAGAGGATGGGATTTCAGTCCAAGCCAGAGGTTTTAAGATGGCTGGGGGGGGGGACTTTCTAGACCCCGTGGGACTGGAGGTAAATCACATCAGATAAGTTCACCTTAAATGTGGGGTGACAGATTTTAAAGATCATTTCAGAGGCACTTTCTCTGTAAGTGGACCTTGTGTCTCCAGTAAGAGAGAAAGTAAGAGGCATTAAATCTGGAATTTCTGAAAGAGGGAGATAGGGATCTAGGGCCCCACCAGTACCCAGCTTATGTAACCATCTGAGCTTTTATAGCAAATCTGTCAGAGCGAGAGTAAATCATCCCCATTCCCACCCTTGGAAGGTCTCTGGAGTTCTTCCATCTTTGAATTTGATGCAGCTTTTCTGGCCCTCTGATTTATTCTTTGCAGCCTAGCAAAGTTACTGTGTCTACAAATACCCACACGAAGTGTATGGAGAGTTCCTAGCAACATTGTCTGTGTTTGATTGCGTTTGTATGATTATAAGAGATGGGAGTTTTCATTGGTTCTATTCCTAAATGAACTCTTGAAAGCTTCTTCAGATCTGAAATTTTGGAAATTCACTCCACCTCCTTCTGCAAACAAAGCTGAAGATAAAGGATGAAGACCATGGTCACTAAGAAAGATGTTGTGACTCTTCTCACGTGTAGAAAAAAAAACCCTGGTAAAGTAGTGTGATTTCACCAGTCGGATAAACCAAGGAAGATTTGTTGAAAAGTCAACCAGACCACAGCAGCCAAACCAGTCTTCTGAAATGCCACATTTGGAGATAAGTGTTAGGAGTGGAGCACCTGGCTCAGACTATACAATTAAGGCCTCACCAAGAGCAGCCTGGAAATTTCTATTTGAGTTTAAAGCATGTAATCAGGTGACAAAATTACTCTGCAATAAAACAGAGATACGCTAGGGAGAGCAGGCCATTTTTGTCTGGCATTGTCCTCATTGATAAACACTTCCAGTACAAGTACATTGTTGTTACTACTCCTCATGTCACAGCTTCATGAGCTGAATGAGGCATCATCACTAAAGCACTGACTCCAAACCTTGCCACCTCCTCAGACCTCCCACCGTAACAAAGTACAATTCTTCTCACTTAGACTCAATTGCCGTAACATTCTGGCCTTTAGTGTCTCTCAGGCTAACTGATTCTCCTTTCTGTGGCCAGACACCAGTCTTTTAAGTACACTAATTTTTTTTTTATCACATTACTGTCCCTACTCAGAAACTTAGAGCAGCAGCTCCCGGTCTGTTCTCGAGTAGAAAGTTGTTTTCAGGGGACTGCCTTGTTTGCTTCTAGAGTAGTTTTCGAGCCTCTCCACTGGTTTCCTAAAATCTGGCTAAAGTAGACTATCTATCGCTGCAGAACCTGAGTTATGTTTTCTTTCTTCTTGACAGATGCTGCTTCCTGCATCTGGATTGCCTCCCCAGTTATTCATCTGTCCAAATTCTGCCCATTGTCCAGTGACACCCCATTTTCACGAAATAGTTCATTTTTTTTTTGGCAGTGCTGGGGATCGAACCCATGCCTTTGTGCATGCTCTCTTCCATTGAGCCACACCCCAGTCCTTGAAACCTTTCCTTGATCCTTGAAATGACATCCTTCCTTTAAACAACCACAGCTCTTCGTGGCTCTCTTGTGGTCTCTATCACACATGTCATACATCATAATAATTCATGTACTCCTCTAACTTTTAGATTCTGAGCCCTTAAAATCAGAGACTGAGGCTGGGTGTGGTGGCACACGTCTGTCATCCCAGCTACAGGGGAGGCGTAGGTGGGAAGATCGGTGCAGTCAGAAGCTAGCCCCGGGCAAAAAGCACCACACCTTATCTGAAAAAATAACCAAAGCACAAAAGGACTGAGGTTGTAGCTCAAGTGGTGGTAGAGTGCCTGCCTAGCAAGCACAAGGTCCTGAGTTCAAATTCCAGTACTATCAAAAAATGAGGGACTGCTCTGTGTCTTACCCTTGTATGTATTTCCTATGGTGCCTAGCAAAATAGCTGGTGCCAAGTGGATATTTGTGCTTATTGAATTAACTGCCCCTTGTGACTCTGATGATAAGCCATTGGACGGGAAAAGGACCTGAAAGAAACATGTGCACAGGTAGATCGAGCTTTGTACCACCACAAATCTACACACATAGAGACTATGACTTGCTGGTCACAGAGGCTCCTTTTAAATCCATGAACACCCTCTGTTAAGCAATAACCTTCTCTGTTGGGGGCTGTAAGATGAGAGACTGAGTGCAGCCACAAGCTGGAGTTTGCATTTATTATTTTTGTTGGCCACTTTACTCTGGGCCCTTCCAAAGTAGTTGAATGGTTTCCTTAGTAAACGCAAATATGTGTGCTACATCAATTCCCCTTTCAGTGAACACAACTAAAACTGGTAATTGAAAGTGAAGACAGAGCTTAAACAGAAGAAGGCTTACTTTTTGCAAGCCTATAGCTCACTATGAAATTTGTAGCGGCCAAGTTATGATTAATATTCAGGTTAAAAATTCACTTCCAAAATAGCAGTGTGACTAATCACCTCTCTGGAGTTTCAGTTTGTGAAGAGATTCTCAAGCCAGTCCCTTTGTTCTTGACTGTGTAATTTCTTGACAACTAGCTTTTATGGACCATTTGTTGTAGGAGGGGATGGTATTTTATGCCTGCTCTTTCTCTGGGAAATTTGAATTCAGTTCTGAAATGGAGTCACTTTCTGTCTTCTCTAATGAAACCTGGACTGTACCCAGAGACTTACTTTTTGAAGTGGACATGAATAATGAAGTAGTTATACGCTTGGGATACAAGGATGAAGAAGTACGCAATTCCTTCTCTTCGGTAGTTTTCTGTCTTATGTGGAAATAGACACAGAGGTGTCTCAGGTGACAAATGTTATAGTAGATATGGGTACACATGGGCCCTGTAAGCACAAAGAACACTGTGCCTAGATGTTGAACGTTGATGGTGGGAGATGCTGATGCCAAGATGACAATGCTGAAAGATCCAAAGAAGGTTAAATTAGGTGGCGTGTGGGCTTCTCCAAAAAAGGTTTTGAAATTGGAAACAAAAATCTATGTGAATATGCTTTTGCAGGGGAGAAGGCCCTATTCCCATTTAAAGTCCCTAACCAGATCATCTTTATGAATTCCGTGAGCATAATGAACACTTAGTTGGCACAAAAATCAACATACAAAATGAGATGAAATTACCAGAGCAGGAAAACCTTGATTGAACCAATGAGTAGGTGGTTTCTCGAGTTATAGCTAGTTGTATA